CAATTCAATTCAATTCAATTCAATTCAATTCAATTCAAAAATACTTTATTGATCCCAGAGGGAAATTAGGTAGACAAACAGAAATTAGAGGAAAAAATTAACAGCTAAATCAGCAGAAGCTAACATGGACAGTTAAATAAAATCAAAAAATAGCAAAAGCTAACACTAAGAGCAGCTTGATGACTGTCTGCGTCACATCGTCTCGTTGGAGCTGAAGACTGGTGGGACTGACACAAACCTGTTGATGTTAGCTGTTAGCGCACTTAAAGTTGACAAACCCTCATTCAGTGGAAGTTAACTGATCCACCAACAGTTTTCATAGATGGTGAAAAAGCTATGAACAGAACTATGCTCTCCTCTGAGTTTAATCTGGTCAGGATTRTTTCKCCAAACTGAGGCCACTTAAAGAGCCATCTACAACAGGTAAGATACTGATTATTCGTAAGTTTTCCACAACAAGAAAACCCAACTATTCTCATTAAGTTTAGAAATGTTGAGAAGATATCATCATAATAGTTTTGTGCCAGACCACATTCATGTTTCTGCTTTTAAATAAGCAGATTAAAAAATGATTAAAAAAAAAAAGCATTTAGTTTTCAGACTGAGCCTCTGTGTGAGCTCGGGGGGAATGGATTCATAATCATCCTTAATGGGACTAACTGAGTAAGGGACTGATAATGCATGGTCTCTGAGCAGACCCCCCAAACAGGACCCTCTAAGTGGATTAACAGCTAATGGGAAAAATGGCAGAAGCTTTGGGAAAGAATCATTCATCATAATGAGGATTTATGGGKTTTTGTTCATTTTAAAGCGGATGAATGGAAAGAAGCAGAACCAAAACAAGTGAAGAGTGATTGACTGAGTGGGTGATTAGGAACAGAAATCAATCGAAGGGCTTTTTAGTCACGTTTGTGGCCTTCTGGGTGTTTTCTGAGTGGCACGTACCAGCAGAGGAGACCAGCAGATGAGCAGGACGCACATGATGCCCAGCAGCTGGATGACCGTCTCCGTGGTGAGACGCTCCCACTGTTTGGAGGACTGAGACTTGGTCTTGGTTTTGCAGCGGAGGATCAGACCCCGGATGGTCATGACGTTGCAGGACAGGGTCACGAGCAGAGAGAAGATGCCCAGGACCGCGAAGGTGATGGCGAAGAACGCGCCGCCGCGGTCCTCGCTCCTCGTGTTGATGAAGCACCAGGTGTACGGCCACTGCACCGCGTACTCCCCGACTCCCGCGAGCGGCAGCAGCGCGAAGAGCAGCCCGAAGCACCAGATGACCGCCAGGGTCTGCTTCGTCACGCGCGTCTTCATGTGGTTCGAGTACCAGTGCGGGTTCGTTATGGCCATGGCTCTTTCTATGGCCATGGCACTGGCCAAGAACAGGGAGCACAGACCGAAGGTTGTCATACAGACACCAAAATAAGTACACAGTTTACCAGATGGATCCACTATATCCCAGTGCAGCCCAGCCTGGTAGGCTGAGATGACCACCGGRGTGGTCAGAACCTGTCCGAACAGGTCAGTCAGTGCCAAAGAACCAATACAGAGCAAGAAAGATTTCTTCCTCTTATTTTCCTTCTTCCTGTAAGATATAAACACCAGAACAAGGGCTAAAGAGTTGCCCACCATGCCCGTGACCATCATGGTGATGGGGAATCCAACAGACACGGTGCCTTGGCTTGGGTTCATTTTGCGCAGCACCTTGGAGGAGTTGAAACCCTCCATGTCTTCAGCCCGGAGGYTCGAGTCTTTTACAAAGTCACAGCTGCACATGAACATGGTTTAAAGAGGCGAAAGTTCGGGAGCCGGTTCTCCTGCATCTTGTCGCGCTTTCAGCACCTTCTGCTCTGTGCGTAAAAAGCGCGTCTCGGCTCTTTTTACGCACAGGAGGCGGGACTCCTCAGAGTCCAGAGGGAGAAGGGACAGCCCAAAAACTGACGCTGCTGGTCAGACAAATAATAAACACCATCATAAGATAATGTTCTCTGTTTTCTTTGTTATTATGAGGTTACGACTTAGCTGGAAAATAGCGATGGAAACAAAATGTTTTCTTTTCTCCAGATTACCAAGCTTGTGGTAAAATCAACAGGATGATGAGGAATAAACAAACATTTGGTATTTTCAAGCATTATTCACTGAGTCTTATTTAGAACATGTACCGAGTGATTAGACACGTTTCTCTCTAAAAACACATTTTTCCCTTAAATCAACACAAAAATCAGATTTGATATTTTGTTGAAATGATAAAAAATAAGGCGTTTCTATGAAATTTTATCTCAAACAGAAAAGACAAGCTAAACCCCCCCCCCYCCCCCAGAATTTTAGTTTATTTACCCAAAATATAATAAATATTTAATATTTCAGTTCATGAAATGCAGTGAACGGTGTATAAAACCTGAACAGAACCAGACGATGGTTTCAGGAGACACGCAGATGTTTCCAGGTTAGAACTAAAGTGCCATCTGTTGAGCTGAAGGAGTTCTACATCCCAGACCCAATAAATAAATAAATAAAAACACAATGCCTTTTATTATACAGGAAAAATAACCCGATGAGGAGAAATAAGATTAAAAATAAGCTCAATCTAWGTACAGTTTATAATATTTTATGCTGAAAGAACATTAATAACAGTTAGGCTTCAATCTGCCAGACTTAAAAAAAAAAAAAGTTAAACCGGTAATTTATATACTGTATCACTCATTGAATAACTGTTCCAGAATAAAACATTAACACGTCACAATGCAAGGTTTCTAAATGTTTCACTTTTATTAGAGGACTCAAATCAGTGTTGTCCTTAAGTGGGGGGCGTGTATGACTGAATGAAAAAAAAAAAGACACTATCATAATAGGCTCCCTTATAAAAGCAAACAAGYGAAAATTTCATGTTCACTTTTGCTCAATAAAGGAAGTTTCTCGTTTTTAAACCCATTTTGCAGTCAGATTTACCGATGTTAAAAATGTCAGTAAAAGTTACTTAATTACACTATAGTTTTGTTTTATTCTTAAAAAGTAGTTTAAAACTTGCAACCTGTAATTTAATTCAGTTTACATTTTAGTTCAACTGTTCAAAACAGGTCGAGGTGTGAAATAATCATCTGTGGTTTTCCAACAGCACAGTTAAAATTAAATTGAACCAAATATTTGAACAGTTTTCCAACATTTTCCAGACCCTAAAATCAGACGCAGCATTACCAAACATGAAGGTTGACAACTGTTTATTTACATGTGTACATTTTTAGTTGTTTTACCAATAAAGACTGATTTCACATGGGCACAAATGTTAGCTGTTTTTGTTACACTGAAGCTATGAAAGTAAAAGTTTACGTCTGTTTGGTTTCCAAAAGACAGGAAGGATGAAAGTCAAAATAAGCCACGATGTTAAAGAAGTACACTTAAATCTAAATCCATTAATGTTTAACTTACAGCCATTCAATTAAAACAATGTATACTTACCTTGAAGAAAATAAAATTAAAAAACAAAAATATTACGTCAGCCATCTTTGACACGTATGAACTTATTTTAATTTGAAAAAAAAAAAAAAAAAGTGAGTTTAAAAGGGAAATCCCCCCTAATACAATTTTTTTTTCTTTTGTTTTTAAGACCAAACACTTGTTTTTACCAAACACTTATCGTTACAAACACTATGGTTGATTTAAAAAAAGGTAGAATGATGGGGATGAAAGGGTGAAATCGTGGTGTGGTTTTGGAGGGAAGTAAAATTTTGTAGACTTTCTGACAAAGAGCAGCAGCCTGTAGAGATGTGGTTGGTTTTCCTCAACATGCACTTCCACTATAACTCCTTTACGGTTTAAAGGCTGAAAGAAACTTATTTCTTTTTTGAACTGGAGCCAGAGTGAGACGATCCGGACGAGTGGCCTCGGCGCCTGAAATCACACAAACATTGAGGGAAGAACCACAAGGTCAGCTGGCTCAAACAGCAGCACGTCGTGTATGAACACAGCTCAGGCACTATGTTAAAGTGATGCACCGTGGCAAAAAATGCGAACATTAGAGTTCCCAACAGTGACCCAACAGATGGCTAGCAATAATCAGTGCCATTGTGGTATTCCACAGAAACCCAAACCTTTCGGACGAATGGGATCTAGAGCGCCTCCGCTTTCTCCCTCCAGATGAGGACCGGGAGCGACTGCGCTTCTGGCCCCTCTCGGGTGAGGAGGAGGGGGAGGGGGACCTCTTCCGGGGCGAGGAGCCCTTTCCGGACCTGGAGCTGGATCTTTTGGGAGGAAGCAGGAAGGTCAGTACAGTCAAAAACAGACTYGCCAACGTGGGTATTTATCAGACTTCTCTGCTTTAGAGCGCTCGAGTATGGATTGATACTGGAACTGATTTAGATTAAAAAAAAGTTTTACGTCTTTTTAATAAATACTGAATAACCTTATGTGTTTAAGCAGGTATCACTCCTAAGAGAGGTGTGACAAATACCCTTAACACTCTTTGGTCTAAATAAACCTGCACACATTACAGGAAATAAAACGTTGCACCAAAAGTCAGGAAATTTGTGTTTGGTATTTTATTTCTCTGTTGTAACTCTCGGCCCGTTGGAAAGCCTGTTAGTTTCCCTTTTAAATGGTGCCACATTTGTAAGGAACATGAACTTGTGGGTTGAGCAGCAGAGGATGTAGGCTGTGCACATGAAAAATATGCCAAATCTTCTCCACCAAACAGCTTCTTTTTCTATCGACACTTGTTTTGAGCTCCTGGTACCTCCAGCATGTACCCTGCTACAGTGCTCAGCGTGCAACACTTGACTGATCTGGATATGAATACTTCAAGCCAGTGTTCTAACTAATTACAGGCATTATTTGGAGTGTCCTGATGCATCTCAGTAATCCAGGTAAAAAATCAAAAAGTAAAAATTGTATAGGTTTTCTGGACGGGTTCTTCTCTAATGAAACCTTTCGTCTCTCCTCCAAGAGACTTCTTCAGTCTGAGAGTTTCAGGCAAAATTCAGGCTTTTATGTCCTGCCTCCAGGTGACTGATACTCACATCACATGGCTATCGTTGACACCTAATTAACACTTATTGTTAACAGGGGTGGAGTGATACCTGGCAATAGCCGCGCTGTAGGAGGGGGACAACTGAAAACGGAGGCCTCCACCTCTGTTTAATGATGGACGGTCTTTCTTCACAAAAATGGCTTCTTTTACTCCTCTCTCAAACCAACGTTCCATTTTTGTGAAGAAAGACCGTCCATCATTAAACAGAGGTGGAGGCCTCCGTTTTCAGTTGTCCCCCTCCTACAGCGTGGTCATTGCCAGTATCACTCCACCCCGTTAACAGTAAGTGTTAATTAGGTGTCAACGATAGCCATGTGATGYGAGTATCAGTCAYATGGAGGCAGKGCTTAAAAGCCTGAATTTTGCCTGAAACTCTCAGACTGAAGAAGTCTCTTGGAGGAGAGACGAAACGTTTCATTAGAGAAGAACCCGTCCAGAAGACCTATACAATTATTTTCTTTCTGATTATTTGGAGTGATCCCTAGTACCATTTCCAAACTGAAGGCTAAATTCAATGCGATGGGGCACGTCATAGAGGCTGAAAAGTGCGCGTCGCAAGAGGAGAACATTCGAAAAGGATCGTTTCCCCATCCTGTCAGCAATTACATACCATAGGCTGTCTTCTACAGATTTGCAGGACAATATGGCTGATGGCCCATTGTGGCTGTGTATGGTTCTTCCACACTCTACCGACGCTCCTGTTTGTTAAATTGCCAAAACGTCCTGTTTCTTCAAACTTCAATCATCCTGTCCACCAAACAAGTCAATGGTAAAATAAGCTGTTTGGCAGAAAAGATTTGGCATATTTTCCTGGTGAACAGCTAGGCATGGGACAACCTTGGGCAAAAATATCACAGTTTCGCGGTATAACGATATTATAATTACAGCTTTAAAAAGTTTTATTTTGAAATCGGTATTAAAAAAAGGTAGAAAACATCTTTTCTAATATCATATTCAACTCTAATCATTTTTGGAAGCTGTTTTTAGATCTCAGAGGGGTTATGCTGAAATTTTATTTACCTGTGTGCATTTATACTTGTGATTTTTAGCACTTAATGCAATTAGGTTATCCTGGTAAAGTTTACATCTAATATAGGATAACTGATTTTCTATTGCTTTATTATTTAAGACAAATCAGTGTATACAAGTCTTTAATTGGTCTAAATGTTGGAAGTTTTTATTGTTTTAAATTTCAAAACAGTTTTTGATGTAAAGATTATATAATTATATGCTCACAGAAACAAGAAATCACAACTATGAATGCGTGTTTATGAAACGCACGTTCAGCTAACGAGCTGCTTGGCTAAAGGAGGCATTCAGTTTAATCACCCTTCACTTAAAACTTATCAAATACACAATCCAACAACTCATTGTTCTGCAGACAAGTTGTGATCGGCGCATTAAGCCACAGCAACACGGTGATATGCTTCACAATCTGATGCTAACGTTAGCTCGTTCATTTCAAGATAGCATAAACTTTACCTGGAGCTGCGATCATGTTCGATGTGTTGCCTCCATGGTCCACAAGACATTCCGTCTGTGTTTTCACAGCATCCAAAGTATTTTCATATAGCTAGATTTAATATTTTAGACACGAAAAAAGYTTGAGGAACTCTCTTCCTTTAGTCGCAACACAGAGTGTTGCATGATTTGGGGGGTCTGCAGCTGCACAGACCAGAGGAAAAACAAAAACAAAACAAACAAACAAACAAACAAAAAAACGCTTATACCGTAGGAACGGTATGACAGAAAATTTTAGTGGTTTTTGAACCGTGACTTTTTCATTTCATGGTATACCTTGAAACTGGTATTCAGCCCATGCCTATGCACAACCCACGCAAATGTGGCAGCATTTAAATAGGGGAATTAACAGGCTTTCCAACTGTATAAGATTTATTTCCAAGAAGCGTCGTTACAATGAAATAACCTACCACACATAAATGTCCTTCCTTTTTGTGCTAAGTTTAGTTCRTGTAATTTAATTTTATATCTGATCAAGTCAATTTGTGTATTTAAGTGTAGAACTGGTACGGAGCTTGCTGCCCCTCACATACACTCTCTGAAGCGAGAGAGAGAGTGCATGTCACCTCATTCACCTGGAGCGAGACCTTGAGCGAGATCCAGATCTGGAACTGGAAGAACTTCTAGAGCGGGACCTGAAAGACAAAAAACAACAAAACCTTTCCAATATTTCCTCAGAGACGGGAACGCGGCTACACACAGGTTCATTCTTTCATCACAGTGAGGGTTAAAAAGTCCCCGACACGTCGATTCCACATTAATATATCGACAAAAGGAAAGAGCAAAAAGAGAAACTCTGCAATCTGAATTAAAATGTTTCCATCTTGAGTCAAGAGCATTTAAAACAAGAGATATGACTTATTCTGCAGGTARGAAGGGGATAAGAAAAAGAGGGAAACAACAAAATGACAAAAAGCAGAACATAAATACGGATATCGATTATTTAAATCAGAAAAAAAAAAAAGATTGAGCTGATACTGACATTTTGCCCGGAGTTACCCTGGACCTGTATACCCTTTTACCTGGACCTGGACCGAGAGCTGGAGCTGGACGAGCGAGAGGAGGAGCGGGAGGAACCGGACTGACTGCTCTTTTTCTTGGCTGGCTTTTCTTCGTCGTCGCTGGCAATCAGGTCGTATTTAGACAGATCACCATCGTCCTCTTCCTCATCGTCGTCCTGCGAAGATGTGACTTCAGCATCAGCACAGCCATCTCCAACAACCTGCATGTTTCACCTTAAAAAGAAATCCTCTTACATCCAGTTTGTATTTTGACAAGTCCCCATCTTCATCCTCCTCATCTTCTTCCTCCTCCTCCTCGTCTTCTTTTGACACAGTTTTCTTTTCGCTTTCTTTTGAAGAACTTGTGCTGCTGTTCTTCCCTCGAAACTTTTTCTTTTTCCTACCAAACTGTAGAAAGAAGAAAAAAAAACACATATATAAATAATAATACATACACAAATGAATTCATTTTATTTCTCAAATATCAGCTTTTTTGGACTGCTGAGTGCCAACATGTACTCACCTCATCATATTCACCATCTGATTCCTCGCGTTCAATATATTCAACATTCTCCCTTTCATTGAARCCTCCACCGTAACCTGGGGCATTACAAAAAATAAATCAAAGAAACGTACCCATAGACACAAAAACCGAAAAACTCTTAAAGATCCTTGGATTACCTGTTCTTTCTTCCAGCTTGGCATATTTAGGAGTGTTACACATGTTGCATTCTGATCGCCTAGCCCAATTTACATTACCGCAACTTTGCAAAAACAAGGGAGAAAAACATTAAACAATCAGATGCTTTTTTAGCGGCAGGTTCGCCAACATCGCAGTGAAATTTTTGCAGTAAATCGCGTACGTTTTGCACTGCCAGTCGTTCGCACTGAAAAGGCCTCGGCTCTTCTCTGCGAAGGTTTTGCCTATTTCTGTTCCTCCTGCTTTCATCATCTTCGCCTCTGTTGTCTTCTCTGTGAAAAACAAAACATTTATAAAATTTAATTGTTTGAACGAACGCATTAAAGCCTTTGAAATTCCAAAAATTTATTTTAAAACTACTAAAGAGGAAAAAATACCTCTGCCACATCTGTTGCAACTTGTTCTTCTGGCAAAGTTCACATTCCCACACCTGAAAAATGAACACTGAATGAATCCTTTTGGGCTCATGCTAACAGCCGGCACAGCACTGGTCAGCTTGACTGTTGACATCTGCAGCCATCCATCACAGTTTCTCTCTCTCTCACACACACACACACACACACACACCACTCGAAACATGATAGTGCTGACGATGCATCAAGACTATTCACACACTTCAACATTATAAACACCACCCCCATCCATGAGTGGACTCATCTATAACAAGAGCTAACTGCAGCTAACACGCTAATTTGCTGTGATAGCCCAAGGCTACCAACATACAAAGCAAAAAAAAAAAAAATACAACCAAATCCTAATCTGTACGTGTTCATTTGCGTTTTATTGCTAGTTCCGTGTAGATAATTACATACAAGGGTGAATGCATGTACAAAAAAAGCTTGTGAGACTGACCAAATGATTATCGTTAGCATGGCCAAAATGCTAAAAGGCCTAAGCTATCATTAGCCTGTGTTAGCAAACGCATACATGTCTAGTGCTACTTCCTGTAACTCCTCGTAAGTACGTCGGGACTTAATTAAATGCATGGCCTTACTTTTTATCAGGACATATCCAGTCCCCATCGCTGACTCGAAAACTCTTGCCGGACATTTTTACGCCTGTTGGCTCAGTGACAGGGTGGTGCACAGCGCCGCTCACTGCTGCTCATGCAGCAAGCAGCTAGCTCGAGTCGACTCCTCCCTCTGATGATGCCTTCAGGTGCTTCACAGTGGCTCGTAAATTCAAACGCATAAATCGTCCCGGTCCCTAAAAATACTTACCAGATTAAATTAGTCGACAAATAATCACTTAATTACCGCTTTGGATCATTAAAGTATTTTTTAACTTGAAATATCTTAAGTGATATTTTGAGTACGCTGGATATGGCAGCAATTGATGCCACGTTTTTATTCTGCGACTACATTCACATTCAATGTTGTAAAGTTAAATTTTCTGAAAACACTTGAACGGAACATTCATGAAGAACAAATAATCATTTATTTCATACTTATAAAATTGTATAATGCAAGAATAGAATTCTAGAAAAGTTATGTTAGCTCACGTTTTTTCACACGTAGCCCCTTTGGAAGGTATTTTTAAATAAAAAAAATAAACATAAAAATGTTTTTAAAGGTGAAGCCCACTTCATAAAAATAATACATTTTAAACTCCATTAAAACATGTCTAATGCCAGATATGCTTTTAGTCATTTGCGTTATTGACTGGTGGTTGTAAATGCTAATTATAATTTATTTGATTATTTTTGCAAGGTAAACAATGGCCACTAGATGGCAATTACAGCCAACATTTAACCTGTTTTATTCAACTTTGCCTTCTCATGAGTATTTTTTTTTCTCCCTCAAAGCTGTGATAAATAAAGATTTATTAAGGAGTGTATTTTATTTTTAGTGCCACAGTCACAGATATACAATTAGGAAAATATTACAGCATCATTCTTTATGTGTATTAATAAAAAGACCTCGGACTTCAGGGACTTTGGTCTTTTTTAACGATGTTGTGTTGTGAATCCTTGTGGTTCTACAGACTTCAGGGCGAGTTTCACTGGTGACTGGATCATTTTAAACCTGTTTCAGGGTGGATCGAATGAAATATAAACATATTTCTWAATTAAAACATGCTAATGGGACAAAATAAAAAAAAATCATTAAGTGTCCACTTGTAAGTAATTATTGAGTGAACTAATGTCTCATAAATTAGTTTAAGGCAATAAAGTGAAAAAAAGATCTTGTGTTTTTGTTAAGAGGCCCTCAGTGAAATTATTAAGGTAGAYATGTTCTGGCTAATGCTAAGCAGAACAAAAGTATCCTCAGTGATAAACACCGGTTCCTGGGCTCCTTCAGCTCATACTTTACTTTGATTTGTAGACTTTCTTTTAAAATGGGCTTGATRAATGAAATATTTGCTTTCTGAAGATATTGTTAAACTTAATTAAAATGTTCTTTGGACTTTGGCTGCTTTTTAACTATTGGCTGCTTTTTAAATATTACAAACAATGAAGAAGAATATATTGTAAAATTTTCCTATTTTTCATTTGTATTTATAGAAACTCTTTGATTTCTCTTTTTTATATAGTGCACACTTTTGTACTTATTTTTGATTTTACTTGTTTATTTTATTGTGTTGTCTACTCTCCTAAAGTTATTTTATCGTGTCTAAAAAAACAAGCAYCTTGGAGCAGCAAACCCAATTTCATTGTAATGCAAATTATAATGACAATAAAGGCAATTCTGATTGTGATTCTGATTTTTCCACTTGACAAGTTGAGGTAAAAAAAATTGTTAGGCCTAATGAAGTCATATA